AAAAAAAAATCATACAATAAAATACTATGCAGTCAAAATATATCCATAATATGGCAGAACATACAAGGGACAAAACAATATAAATGTCTTAGATATTACCAAAACCTTGAAGGAATGAGATGCTAGGTCTGGGGGCTTAGGACGATAGTCTCAAGTGACACCACGATCAATTCACTGGCATAACATAGTCCACAAAGACAATGTTCTACATCCTACTTTTGTGAGTAGTAACTGGAGTCTTTAAAACTCATAAGCAGCCATCTAGGATGCAACTATTGGTCTTTCCCCATGCAGGGGAAAGAAAAATGAAAATTGAAGATGGTTGGAATCAATTAGTCCAAGGCACTAATGAAACACATGAACATCAGATGAGAAGATCATCTGGTGAGAACTAGATGGTGCCCAGTTATCACTACCAACTACTTTGAAAGGTATCACATTAGAAGGTCCTGGATAAAGTAAGAGAAAATGTGGAACAAAACTCAAGATTATAAAAAAGACCACTCTTAACAGGTGAGAAAGAAACTGCAGGAACATGAAACTATGGCCATTGTTTATGCGTTAGGTCTGGAACTGAGCTTACTCTCACATATCAATTTTCAACTAGCAGCAGACAGATATTTAGGAGAGAACAACAACACTAGTGAGGTATGTGACTTATAGTGGCCCTGTATAGGGTTTTCGAGGAGCAGGTTGTGAGTTTGAACTGCCGACCTTATGGTTCAAACCAATCTTGCAGTCTAGTGCATTATCCCACAGCGCCATACCAAGACTTCAGGAAAACAACAGAATGGTCTAAAGGGCAATTTTTCAGAAAGGTTAGGAAAGGAGAAGGAAAGGACACATGAATCACAGGAAAGTGGAATAAGTGATGTTACACTTGGAGGATTCCAATCACTGAAATGAAATGAAGCATACGATGTGTTGAATGTGAAACTGACAATCTGCTCTGTAAACCTTCATTCAATTCACAATAAAAAGTTTAAAAAGAAAATATGCAGATATTAAGAATAACGTAAGAGTGAATTTATTACAGCAAAAACAAACTTCAATTTTTACAATGAATTTCAATATGGATTGTTGTAAAGAACTGTAAAACTTACATCAACAGCAGCATCCTCATCATCTGAATCTTGCAGACCAAGAGCTGCTTTTTGTAACTTCTTCCTTTCATTAGCCAAAGCTTGTTCTGTTTCATCAAACTTGAATCCCTTACCAGAGAACCCACTACTCTTTTTAATTATTTTCCCCTCCTTTCAAGGAAAAACAAAAAAGTTAATTTCCTAATAAAGACTTTTAAACATTCAGCAATTTACTACATTTAAGTATTTTTCAAGGTAGGATATGCCAATTTAACAAAAATACTTCATTTAAGCAAGTTAAAAAGTGTAATAAGAGCTATATGAAGACTATACAATTTACTACTAGACTCAAACAAAAGGATCTTTTTCATAATTTTTTCCCTCTCCAAGGAGATCACAGAAAATCATCATATCAGGATTTGCAAGTTTTAAACATTCAAAGTTAGAACACATCAATGATAGAGAAATAAGAGGCTAAAAAACTCACAGCTTTCTGTTGATCTTTAAAATCACTCCAAAGTTTTTCCAGATCAGGAGGCACTGTGGTCCCTGACAATTCAAGGGCTTTTATTATGTCACCAGCATAACGAGCTTGATCTTCTGTGATAAAAGTATAGGCATAGCCCTAATGAACAATGAAAAAGTACAACTGTTAGCTACTATGCACCTAAGACTGATACCATTACCAAAAAAATGTAAAGTACAGAGTCCTACTAAATTCTTAAATGGTTCAAAGTGAACTATATGTTTAATATTTTTAAATGTTAAGCAAAAATAGAGCACTTCTAATTTCTTTATGGTTGTTGTATGTCACCGAGTCGATTCTGACTCACCGCAACCTTGTATTACAGAACAAAACTGTTTCCTAGGCTGAAACCTTTATATGAGATGATCCCTTTATGTGAGAGGATCTTTTCTCCATCAGAGTGGCTGGTGCGTTCAAACCTCCAGTCTTTTGGTTGGCATCCAATCATTTAATCTGCTGCACCAAAAGGATTCCTAAATTCATTTTATTATTATTTTTTTTTCTACATACCCTCCCCATCACTACTTACCATACCTTGCCCAAGCTAATAAGTATTAACTTTTTAGTATGCATCTCCATATTTTTCTCTAGGTCCAATCAATAAGATATATTAATAATATTAATAAAATATATACTTCTAAATTGGTTATAATTTTATAAGCAAGTTTTTTTTATAAACTTATGTATTTTTGGAACCATTTTACAAACTGAGATCATCTGAATCACCTCCCAGGAACTCTACAAAGGCTAAGGCCACACTACTCACCTACTGTGACCTAAGAAGCTCTTCTGGTTCATGCAAGAGAAAAAGTTCTAAGTAGAGAGATAGGAAACTACATTCAGGTTGCCAACTGTGAATTATTAGAAACTATAAAATATGATTTAAGATTTTGTTCCCATATATTCATCCTCAGTCTTCTTTTGTATTACTCATAAACTAAGAATATTTACATTTTTATTGGATTGTGAATACATAAATCTTTATGACAAAGACACACAAAGGCTAAAATATTTATTATCAGTACTTTTATAGAAAAAGTGCTATTCCTCAAAATGCCTCAGGTAAAAATAATATACTGATCACCAGTATTATGTCTCATCTATAAAATGCAACTGAAAGGAAAGCAAACGAGATGGTGGATGGCAGGTTGGGTAGAAGTGCAGTGAGGATCTCCGTCAGCAACAACACAGAATACTGGACCAACCAGGCTCAGGGGATGATCCCAGAACTCTGAATCACATAAAAAAGGAAAATTTAGAAAGTTGGAAGGCTTACAGCCAGTGGAATTTGTAGCAGAAGCAAGAAATCTAGTGCTTTCTAATCGAAGGTGCTCAGCTGCTCCCTGAGCGGCCATTTTGGGTGAGAGCAAGCAGGGGAAGGCTCAGAGCAGCCACGGACGCCTGACACAAATGCAGAGATAACTAGAGGGGGGGTGTCTGAGTAGTTCTACTACACATGTACACAGATCTTCTCAAAACTTAAAGGGACAGTTTCCACATAAAACCAAATGGCAGTGCAAAACAGCCACAGTTGGCCCTGAGCTGTTTATCACTAGTAAAAAGGCCTGAACGGGGGTTGTGGAGCAGGACAGGCAGACTAAAAAGGAAATCAGTTACATCACAATAACCAACAGTGGCATCTTGAAATTTCTCAGGAAGAAAACTGAAAAGGGAAGCCCATTTCCTAATCATATCTACCTGGAGGCAATCAGAAAACATAAAAAATACCAAAACACACCCATCTAAGTATTAAGGCCACAGATAACTCCTGAATATGCCCAAAAAACAGAAACAGATGACCATATCAGCACATGTCCAAAAACAAGATAAAGTGACTGAGACAAATGAGCTGGAGGTAGACTAACACTCCATAATGGAAGGAGGGTATGCTTTGGAAATGCCTGAGAAGGAATTCAGTAAAATGATTATAAAATTCATTAAAACACTTCACAGTAGAGTTGAGAAAAATAAGGAAGAAGTCAGGAAAGTGCTACAGGAACAATCAATATAGATACAGCATTGGAAACAATTCAAAACCAACAGAAAGAAGTCCAAATGATTAATAACAGAATATCAGAAATGGACAATACACTGAAAGGGCAAAGGCGTAAAACTGAAGAAATGTAAGATGGAACTAAGTGAGCTAGAAGATGAATCTCTCAATACCACTAAGATAGAAGAACAAGCAGTAAAAAGGATAAAAAAAATCTGAAGAAGGTCTAAGATTCATGCTGGACAACATGAAGAAGAATAACTTAGGAATTATCAGCATTCCGGAACAGGAAGAATCACACAAGCCCACAGAGGATATAGTTGAAGAGCTGATGAAAGAAAATATCCCTAACATTCTGAAAAGCAAAAAGATATGCACTCAAGAAGCTCAACAAACCCCAGGAAGGATAGACCCTAAAAGAAATTCACCAAAACATAATAATCCAAAACTAATGTTCTCCTATGTAAACTATCATATAATCCACAATAAAATACTAAAAAAATAATAATCAAGCTCTCCAAAATCAAAGATAAGGACAGAATACTGAAAGCAGCTATGGAAAAGAGAAGTGTAACATATAAAGGCAAGCAATTCAGATTAAGCTCGGATCTCTCAAAAGAAACCATGCAGGTAAGAAGGCAATGGGAGATATATAAAACCCTGAAAGAAAAAACTTCCAACCAAGAATCCTCTACCCAGCAAAGCTGTCAATCAAATAAAATGGTGTAATCAAAACATTCCAGGATAGGCAGAAGCTAAGAGATTTTTCCAAAGGCAACTCTGTGATGAAGAACATCCTGAAGGGAGTTCTGTGGACTGAGAACCAAGAAGAACAGACAACAACCAGAGGCTGATGTATGTGGCAGCATCATCCAGAAGTCAGTCAACAAATGAAAGAGTCAAGAACAGAATAAAGTTATAAGAACAGAGGATCTGGGAGGTCAGTCTATGATCAAAACAATTACAATGTGAAAGAAGGTAAACACAGAGTAACAGATATCCAAGTGGTGAGAAGGTCAAGTACATTACATGATAAAACAGACTCTTAAATGGAGGCAAAAGTTCATGGAATATAATGTAACCACAATGGTGGGGCTGGGGTGGGAGGTTAGGGGGAGGTGGAGGGAGGTGACAGTAGAGCACAGGGTAAGAGCAGACACATCATAGTTTGGGTGTTGGGGAGGGCAATACAAGAAGGGGGGAAGAGGTGGAAGAACAAGGTAGACAGGGGAACACTGAGAAAGGTTTGCATGGACTAAGAGGGACAGAGATAAATAGTGATGCGTACTCAAACTTGGAACAACTGGGCTCTGTGATACAAGGATCAAGGCATAGTTTGAAGAGGGGAAATAATACTAAAATGCTTGACTATCTTATGAATATTGGTTTCCCTTGCCTACTATTGTAAAATAGACACTTGAGTGGGATACAAAGGAGTATCGGGAAACATGATTACAGAAAACCTGTAAGCCTGTCTTCAACCTATAACTGATTAGAATACATAAAAGGAGTTCTAGAACTTCCCCAGTGAAATAGGCCTCTTGCAGAGCCCTTGCAGTGTATAGGACATTAGGTGGAATCCTGATGCCCATACAGAATCTTCTGAGGTGGGACATCCCCACTAAAAAGGATAATCAGACCAGCCTGGAACAGCTAGAGCAACAGAAGATACATCTTCAAAGAAAGATTATCAGGAAAAACTCAAAACAAAAATGTCAGCATGACTGGCTACTACAAGAATATGCAAGCTATTTGCCGGGAAGCCATCAAGGCAAGCAATCAAGTTCCTTCAAGACAAACTCCCCTCTAAGACTGAAACTCAAAGGGAACACATGAGCAGCCATGTAAGCTTGCTGGTGACCACATTGGTTTACTGGTGAGTGGAAGATGGGGAAAGGCAGCAATGAAGAAATCGGCTGAGTTCAACCAAAGTGTGGTGAGACCTGGGGACACCTGAGCCCATGGACAAGGACACAGCCACAGAGGGCTAGAGCTGGGAGTGAAGCATCCAGCTGATATGAAGTGAGGGAAGATACACAAGAACACCCAAACTTGTAGACAGAACCCATTTGACCTAGCCTCGAAGGCTTGATAATCAGAACTCGATTAGAAAAAGATTTTTAAAAAAACACACAAAAAAATTTTTTTGATGAAGGAAACAAGGGTAAATTGCTACTATTTGATGAACCTGACCTATACTCATGCAAGTAATAACTCTAAATATCCACAGAGAAGGAAAAGAGTCTTCACATCAAGTATCAATGCTATCCACACTGTAAATAACAGAGTAGATAGGGATGGGCAACTTAGACATTGGCTACCTAAAATGAGGGGTCAATAAAGGCACGAAGTGACTGGATTACAAGGTTTCAAGGGGGAATTTAGTTTATTAGTGTATGGGGAAATAAAAAGAGTCCCTGCTGAATAGTTTTCATCTTGTCTAGATGGGTGTGGTTAAAAGAGATGGGGATAAGATTTTTATGTTTCAATAGTGAGTAACTTCTATCATGACTAATTATGACTGTCACAATTGTAAAGGTAGAAGTTCTGTTAAAAAAAAACAGGGGAGTTGTTAATCTTACAGTCCAGAAACAAAGGACCCTAGGACCAACAAGAGGGAAGGGCATAAGTGGAATGCGACACCTTATCTGAGAAGCATCGACATCAGATATGGAGGCAGAGTTGGGGTTATGGGGAGAGGGAGCAGCTGAGGACTCCAGATCCATGGTAAGAGAGGGACTAAGAGCTGATGGGCAGGGGCAGACTTGCAGAATGTGCCCTTGGGTGGTGTAAATTATTATATATGCCTGAGTGTTTATAAGAAAAGAAAAAAAGAGCTAAAGTAAATAGAAATACCATTAACTGATGGTACATGGTGAGGATTATAATCATTGTAATGAAACAAGGTGTACGATTTGTTGAATGTAAAACTGATGATCTGTCCTGTTTACACAATAAAATCCTTAAATTAAAAAAAAAAATGCAACTCAAAGGCAAGCTGTAAAGATAAGATGGTATGATATATGCAAAGAACTTAGAACCTTGCCTGGCATGTAAGTATTCCATAAATGTGAACTATTTACTATTATTATTGCTTCAATACGCAGAAGTGTCCAGAGCGGTGATATCACAGTTAACCTGGTCAATGTCTCCCACAACTGACGCCTTCAGTCAGATCTATTTAGTTACCAGAATATACCAGAGTCAAACAAACAAAAAACAAATAACGTATGACACGACATATGTGTATGCACACACATAATTTTAAGATTCTGTATTTTAAAAAGCGGATGAAAAATCTAAACCTAGATATTGTTATTGTTATTGTTAAGAGGTATTATGCCAATGTTCTCTCATGTAAACTATCACATAATACACAATAAAACAATAAAAAAAAAAAAAAAAAAGGTATTATGTCAGTGCCAACTCATAGCAATCCTGTACAGGGTTTTCTGAGGATCAACCAGTGGGTTTGCATTGTCAACCTTGCAGTTAGCAGTCCAGTGCTTATCCTACAGTGCCACACGACTCAGATATATATATATATTATAGATAGAGGGATACACAGATTGACAGACAGATATAGAGAGATACACAGGCATATCTATCTATCTGTATCTATCTATATCTAGCAAGAGAGAGAGGGAGAGTGAGCCCTATTGTGGCACTTTGGGTTAATACGCTGGACTGCAAAGTCAGTTTGAACCGCAAAGTTCAAGCTCACCAGCTGCTCCTCATAAACTCTAAAGTGCGTTGCTATGGGTCGAACTGACTTAACAGCACTTAACCACAACACACACATATACGTCTCTATATGTGTGTGTGTATATACAGCCATAGATACATAGATAGCTATATATAGATATACATATATATGGAGCTCTGGTGGTGTAGTGATTACTAGTCGGGCAGTTAACCTCAAGGTCAGCAGTTCGAAACTACCAACTGTTTTACGGGAGAAAGATGAAGCTTTTTGCACCCGTAAAGATTCACAGCCCTGGAAACCCAATACAGGGTTTCTGTAAGTCAGAACCGACTCCATGGAACACCGTCACCACATATATATACATGTATGCATATATATATGGAGTCCTGGTGTGGCGCGGTGGGTTAATGTACCAGACTGTAAAGCCGTTTGAACTGCATGGTCAGTTGGCAATTCAAGCTCACCAGCTACACCTTGGAAACCCCAAAAAGGGTCGCTATGGGTTGGAATCGACTCAACGGCACTTAACAACAAAATCAACTATATATACATATATATAATTTTATTGGAAGAAAAAAGAAAACTGAAAAGGAACACAAACTGTTAACAGTATTTGTCTATAGAGAGCAGCTGAAAATTTTACCAATACTTGGAGACATATGTGTATATAAATGATTGACATCAACTATACCCCCCACTCTACTGATTAAGGGTTTTCAAAATGTCTCATAGTTCCTATTACCTACTTCTTAAAGTATTAAAGAAATAACCAATATTTTAATATAATAACATAAATTTTTTTTTTTTACTTTGTTGCCTGCTCTTCCGGTTCGTCCTGCTCTGTGGACATAATCTTCATAATGGTTTGGGCAGCTGTAATTTACTACAAGAATCAGGTGTTTCACATCTAGGCCTCGAGCAGCAACAGAAGTGGCCACAAGAAGTTTGCAGGTCCCATTTTTAAAGTCATTTATGATGCTATCTCTGTCATATTGATCAATACCTGAAAGTAAATTAAAGAATTACAAACAATAAAAATCAAATTCAATTTTCCATATCCTCTGACACTCATAGACAAAAGAACAAATCTGACTTACATTAATCACATCCAATTTCTAAAATATAAGAAATAAAAGACTAACAAAATAAAATGATAAGATCAAAAGTTACCACTATAAACTTATTTATGGATCTTTCAAATATGCCTGTCTTTGCCCCCTTTTCACTGATTTAAGCTCATAACTGCAGAGATCCAACATCAAAGTCATGAACCAAAACGTTATCTGGGAAATGACTAACCTATACTGATGTAGGACTCAGGTATATAATGCTCTGGTAGCTTATTTAATTTTTGTACTTAGTATAATCCAAGAAATGGAAGCCTCAAAGACCAGAAACACCAGTAGTGTCACCTGAAATGAAGAATCTCAGGATCCAACACAAACCTTCTGAACCACAACGTGCACTGTTAACAAGATCCTTGGATAAGTCCCTCCTCCTATTCCTGACTAATCTTTCTCTCTTGTTCCTCCTACTTTTCAACATAAACCCACTTTTGTTCACAAATCCACCCAACATATGATCACATGCAACAAACAATAAGAGAGCCTAATTTTCAGTCTCAGGAGATGAATCATAATCCATTTAACCCAGATGTTCTAAAATATTTGTGCTAAGAACACCTCTACTGTTGTTGTTGTTAAGTGCTATGGATTTGGTTCCAATTTATGTTGTTGTTGTTATGTACTGTCACGTTGGTTCCAACTCATAACAACCCTGTATAGAGTTTCCAAAGAGTGGTTTGTGCATTTGAATTGCTAACCTAGCAGCCCAGTGATTAGCAGTCCAGGGTTTATTCTACAGTGCTACACCAGGACTTCAGAGGCACCTATTTATGCACTGAACTGTGTCCTCCAAAATAAGTGTTGTAAATTCTAACCTCTGTCTGAGGTCTAACACTCATCTCTCAGTTTACCATACTGTGGTAGTCTGTGTGTTGCTTTGATGCTGGAAGCTATACAAGCAGAAGTCATAAGTGAAGAAATTTAAAAATATTTGTTATTAAAATAACAATAAAGCCATTAAACGTTAAAATAAAAAGTTTTTTTGTGAAAAATAAATTTTCCAAAGTATAAAATGGAATCCTGGTGTGGCACTGTAAAATAAGTACTGAACGGCTAACCACAAGGTCAACAGTTCAAACTTACCAGGTGTTCTTCAGAAACCCTATTCAGGGTCACTGTGAATTGGAACCAACTCAACAGCACTTAACAGAAGCATAAATAAATTATTATGACAAATAGTACTATTTTATATTTTTGTAAATCTCTTTAATGTCTGGTTTAACAAAAAATTGGCTGGGGAAAAAAAAATGGCTGGGGTCTCATACTTTATCTGCATTCAGCCTGTTCCTGTATAACATGCTTTATTGCCTCTTGCACCCTCATGTGAAAATGAGAGTGATAAAGGCACATAACATTGTGATTATTATGAAAATACCTTTGACACCACAGACTCCACAAAAGGGTCATAAGAGACATTTGGGATGCCAGGATCATACTTTGAGAACCATTGTTGTTAGGTGCCATCAAGTCAGTATCGACTCATAGTGACCCAATGTACAACAAAAAGAAACACTGGTCGGTCCTGGGTCAACCTCACAATTGTTGCCAAGCTTGAGCCCATTGATTCTGCCACTTTGCCAATCCATCTCGCTGGGGATCTTCCTCTTTTTCTCTGACCCTCCCCCTTACCAAACATGATATCCTTCTCCAGCCACTGGTCATTCCTGACAATATGTCTGAAGTATGAGAGATGAAGTTTGGCCATACTGGCCTCCAAGGAGGACTCTGGCTGCACTTCCTCCAACACAGATCTGTTGGTTCTTTTGACAGCCCATGGCACTTTCAATATACTCCTCCAACATTATAACACAAAAGCATCAATTCTTCTATGGTCTTCCTTATTCAGCTTCTCGGATTATTTGCTCAGCACATAGGTTGAATAAATATGGTGAAAGAATACAACCCTGTCACACACCTTTCTTAATTTTAAACCATTCAGTGTACCCATGTTCTGTTCCAACAACTGCAGTCTTGGTGCAGGTACAGATTCCTCATGAGCACAATTCAGTGTTCAGAATACTCATAATTCGCAATGTTGTCTATAGCTTGCCATGATCCACACAATCAAAAGCCTTTGCGTAGTCAATAAAGCACAGGTAAACATCTTTCTGGTATTCTCTGCTTTCAGTCAAGATCCATTGCATATCAGCAATGATATGCCTCATTCCACGTTCTCTTCTGAAACTGACTTGAACCTCTGGAAGTTCTCTATCAATGTATGCTTGTAGTCATTTCTATATTACCTTTAGTAAAACTTTACTCACATGGGATATCAAACAGATTGTCCAAGGGGATATCAAACAGATTGTCCAATGAGTTTCTCATTCCATTGGGTCACCTCTCTTTGGAATGGGCACAAATACAGATCTCTTTCAATCAGTTGGCCAAATAGCGGTCTTCCAAATTTCTTGGCAGAGATGAGTACGTGCCTCCTGTGCCACCTCACTTTCTTGAAAGATTTCCATTTTTATTCCATCAGTTCCTGGTGCCTTGTTCTTTGCCAATTCCTTCAATGAAACTTGGACTTCTTCCTTCAGTAGCATTGGCTCTTGATCATATGCTACCTCTTGAAACAGACGAACATCAACCATTTCCTTTTGGTACAGTAACACAGTGTATTCCCTTCCATCTTCTTTTGATGCTTTCTGTATCATTTAATAATTTGCCCAGAGAATCCTTCAATAATCAAAGTCGAGGCTTGAATTTTTTCTTCAGTTCCCCCAGCTTGAGAAATACTGTGCATATTCATCTCACCAATGTTAGTATACAAACCAAATTTACTACACAACCAATGAAACAGGAAAACAGAAAATAAAAGCAAAATAAAAGACAACCAATGTAGACTGATATCAAGATGATTCAGATACTGTAATTAGCAAAAATGTTAAAGTATCTATTAAATATTAAGAAGGTCTGTTGGCGCTATAGGAAAAGCACTGAACGGCTAACCACAAGGTCAGCAATTCAAACCAAACATTGCTCCATAGGAGAAAGGTGAGGCTTTCTGCTCCCATAAATATTTACAGATTCATATTTATAGGGTTACTAAGAGTCAAAATCAACTTGATGGCAGTGGTTTGTTAAAACTAATCAAATAATTTTTTTGAAAGCTCAAAATGATGAATAGAAAATCTAGTCAAAGAAACCAGAAAGAATAAAAGTGAACTGACTAGGAAGTCTAGAACTCAAAAACAGAGTAACTGAATTAAAAAATCTGCTAGACCTACAGATGGGTGATAGTAAAATAAGGCAATAACCTTTAAGATAGTTCAAGAAAAGTACCCAATAAACAAACCTTGACATGCAATGAAATACTATGAAACCTTAAAGAACAGCGATGAATCTGCAAAACACCACATAACATCAATGAACCTAGAGGCCATTATGCTGAGTGAAATTAGTCATTCAGAAAAGGACAAACATTGCATGAGATCATTAATGTAAATGCTTCAGAAAAAACTTCCATGCTAAAAGAAAAATTCAGGGGTGGAAGGGAGGGGAGAGTAATTTACAGGATAAGGGGTAGATAAATGATAGCTCAGGTGATGGAGAGGGCAATATACGAGGGGAAGGCAATACAAAAAAAGAGGGAGGGTGGAAGATGAACAATGAGGATGGGGAAGACTTAGGGAGGTATGCGTGGGCTAAATGGAATAGAGTTAAATAGTGATGTATAAACAATTTTGGAACAACAGTGCTCTGTGATAGAGGGATCTAGACATAGTCTGAAAAGGTAAAAGGAGGGAAAAATGTTTAGGGGTTTGCATGTCTTGCATGTTTTATATAGTAGGATACTGGTTTCCCCCTGTGTACTACTGTAAAATTCAAACGTAGATAGAGACTGTCAGAATACGTTTAAAAAAACAAGATCTAATTATATGTCTGCTCTATAGGTGGTCATAGTGGTACTATGCTGTGGAGTGGGTTCTGATTCATAGTGACCCTATATAGGGTTTCCAAGGCTGTAAATCTTTATGGGAGCAGAAAGCCTTATTTTTCTCCCATGGAGCAGCTGATAGTTTTGAACTGCTGACCTCGCGGTTAGCAATCCGACTCATAATCACTACACTACCAGAGCTCCTATAGGTGGTGGGCTTAAATTATGCAGAGATACACTGAAAATGAAAGAACAGAAAAAAACACGCAACAGACAGTAAGTATGGGAAGAGTAGAGGAATAACATTATTGAAGCACACTTTCAAAAACAGAGTAATACCAAAGGTAAAGAGGATCATGTTAGAAAGACAAAAAGGTTTAATTTCTCAAGAAAACCTAACCATCACAAATATGTACACAATAACAAAGCTTTATTAACACATGAAAAAAAAATGATAGAAACAGACAAGACCACAATCATTTTTACATCCTGCTTCCATAGATTTTAAGAACTACATAAAAATTCAGTAAAGACAAAAGATCATCTAATGTGTACCTAAAAGGATGGAGTATGTAATCTTTCACTTCAGGAACAGACAATACCAGAACCATCAAGAAAGAAGAGCATGAGTGGAACGTGAGATCCCTACTTAGAAAAGTGGTGACAGCAAAGAAGGCAGCTGTGTATCTGTGAGCAGGAGGCTGGCTACCAGAATATGCCTCTTAGAAATTTAAATGAATATATACAGTTTTGTTTAGTGAGTATACATCAAATGTTTTTACCTTGTTCATTTGTGGAATATATGACGTGGATGGGGAGCCACAGGGAGGGAATTGTAATCACTGAGATGAAACAAGGTATATGGTTTGGTTTGGTTTGCTGAAAGTACAGCTGATTATCTTTTTTTTAAAACTCTTTATTGTGAACTGAGTGAACGCTAACAGACAACATCATCAGTTTTACTTTTAACCAGTCATACATTTCATTTCTTCTACATGATTGCAACCCTCTCCCTGCAAAAATTATCCTGCTTCCTCCCTGTGGCTTCCCTTTTACATCTCATTCTTTACAAAGGAACAAAGCAAAAATATTTGATGTACACATACAAAACAAAAACTATATATTCATTTAAATGTCCAAAGGGCACACTTTGCAAACTAGTCTCCTGCCCCCAGGCACACAGCCTTTCTCAGTCCATAGGCCTAGAGTCTTCACTATCTCTCCATGCCATCCTTTCTGACGTTGCCACTTTTCTGGATAGGATCTCATGCTCTACTCATGCTCTTCCTTCTTGTTGGTCTTGGGCTCCTCCATTCCTGAAATGAAAGGTTAACTACTCCCCACTCTAAGTTACACATCTTCTACAATTACAGTTGCGACAAACAAAATGAATTCTAATAATAATTACTCACAAATGAGTCATAAAATCCTATCACCATTGTCCCCCATCCCCTTTCAACAGATCCATCTGGAAAAGAGGAATATTATTCAGTGGGGATTCTACCATACCCCCTCATTCTGAAACTAAGGTAGTCACCAGCAAGCATGCTAGACTGCTCGTGGGTTCCTATTGAGTTTCAGTCTTAGAAGGGGATTTTCTCTGATGGGCTAACTTTTTTTGCCTTGATGGCTCCAGGCAAACAGTTTGCTTGATAATGTAACAACCAGTCTCCTTATTTTCTGCTTGTCTTCCTTTCAATAGGAGTCCTGGTGCGGCGTTATGGGTTAAAGCGCCAGACTACAAAGCCATTTGAACTGCACGGTCAGTGGTTCAAGCTCAACAGACACTCCTTGGAAACCGTATACAACATCCCTATGGGTTGGACCATTCGATGGCACTTAACAACAACAACAACAATTCTAGCCTTTCCAGGTTGGTCTCCATGTCTTTTCTTATGGGAATGTCCCATCTCAGAAGGTTCTGTATGGGGCTCAGGATTCCACCTAAGGCCCCATACTCCACAAAGCTTAACAAGAAGCCTATTTCCCTGGGAAAATTCTAATTCCCCTTTTAAGAGCTGATGATCTTGTGCGTAAACCATCACTCAATTCATAATACAAAGTTTTTTAAAAGATCATCAAAGGTGATAATTTCCCATCAAAAAGCGAGGTATATCCTCTTGAATCTGGGCCAGTTCTATGACTACTTTGACCAGTAGAGTAGGGAGGAAGTGAAAGCTCTGCCAGTTCTCAATATCATGCTGAACTGGAGCAGCATCTTTCTGTTCTTGCTTCTTGGTCAAGCAACCTCATAGAGAAGCCCACAAAAAAAAGCAACTGGGACTCTAGCCAAGGGTGACTGAGCTGCCAGTCAGCAGCCAATACAAACTTGCCAGCCACAGTACTGTTGTGAGGAAAAACTGAGATACATCATATTGTATGAAATTTAGTTCTGAATTATAAAGAAACAAAATAATACAATCATTTAGAATACAGTATATTGCTTGACAAGTTAAATACTTCATGGGTAAATGAAACGAAACATTACCTCCATGAAGAGACATGCAAGGATACGATGCTCTCATTAAATCTTTCAGAAGACCATCAGCATGTTCCTGCTTGTCCACAAATATGATGACAGATCCTGATTCTTGATAATGACCTAAAAGCTCAAGTAACTTCAAGAATTTCTTTTCTTCTTCAATCACAATCTGAAAACATCAAATTATACCAAATTAAAGGAGCGAAAATGCAACTATATGCCTTAAGTGGAAATATTTTATTTATAATGACTATATAAATGACAAAATCTTGGTATATTTTTAGGAAGATTTTAGAAAATGTTGGTTTTATGTGGTAAACAGTAAGACCAAAAACAAAACCAACAACAAGTAATTTTCAGAAAATAAGAGCTTTGCAGATGTGGACAAAATGAGCATTGCTGTTTTCTGTATTCTAAAATATCACATCCTATGAACCAAAGAATAAGATACGTACATAACATTTCTATCTACACGCCTATCACTTCTGATGAGAAAAACTAAACTGAGTATTTTAAAGCATTCAGTGGTTCAAGCTCACCAGCTGCTCCTTGGAAACCCTATACAGGATGGCTATGGGTCGGAATCGACTTGATGGCACTTAACAACACTGACTCGCACTTTCAAGTGTATCTGATAAAATGTTGAAAGCTGAAGTTGATGTATGCTACCTAATTTAAAAAAAATTATTTGTCTACTTCACAAACGATGATTTAAAAAAAAAAAATCACACAACACTGCCTAAACATCAAAGGGGCTGGAGGCCCCTAAAGATAGTACCTACCACTTGTTGTTCCACATCTGAGCAAACCACGCTTCTGCCTCCAACCTGCACTTCAATGGGCTTACTCAGGATTCTGCGAGCCAAAGCTTCCATAGCTCTCGGGAAAGTAGCTGAAAACATAACTGTCTGTCGATCAGGACGGACATTATCCACAATGCGCATGACCTGAGGGGGGTGGTAACAAAAGCACACTATAATAAATATGGTGAGCATAGGCACCAAAAATTGTAAAATGTTAAAACAAAGTATAAAGAACTTTTGCGAACACCTATTATCAGTGACCTTTACACTTGTGATTTTAGAATATCAGAGATGATTTACACCTTAATTTGTTCTCCCATTTCTGTATCAAGAAGATGCCTAAAAACTTGATTTGGACAAGCCAAATAAAGTTTCATTGGAACTTAAAAAAAAAAAAAAAGATGCCTAAAGTCAAAACTCTGGGGAGTCATTCATTCTGCTACATTCATCTCACATGGAACCAATTAACTAATTCTATCTTCATCTTCAAACTAACTCTATCTAGAAAGTAACAACTCTCCACTTCTATCTGCTTTCCTTCATTTATTCAACACATTTTTATCAATTGTTTATTTGCCAGTGACGGAAGATGAACCTGACCTATACTCAGAGCGGTAGTTACGCTAAAGACCAACAGAGAGGGAAAGAGTCTTCAAATCAAGTATCAATGCTATCC